ATTAATGTCAAATGATATCCATTATATGGGGAAAAAAAACATTAATTTTTTAATTATAATAATGCGACTGTAATTTCTTTCTCGAGATTATCGCGTCCTATAATGTAAAGACTATAATGTAAAGAAAAGTGTAGGTGGTAATGCTGAACGCCGTGTATTACGTACATAATACACGGCGTGTTCTAGATGTTTTAGCCACCGACATCGATCCCAGGTGTAGCGCAGCGTGTTGTAAAAGTATGCGACAGGGCGTCGGCGACAACTGTCACGTCGCGACGCCGCTGTCGCGACATGCTCGCGAGCAAAACGAGCAAATGGACGCGCGCGCGAGTAATAACAGTCACGATAACACGAGGGTATCGCGGATAATAATTCGGTGGAATCAGAGACAGACGTAATCGCCGACAGAGCAGCTTATACCGTGCACGAATCCGCGTTGTTGTCGGCGCGTAGAAGCATTCAGGTGAATAATTCGAGAGTTTCGAAGCCGGCCTTCGGAAAAGTTACGAAAGTAAAGACTTGTGTAGTTGCGCGACTTTTAGATCGTCTAACACTAAATGTCGCTGGGTCATCGTCAAGGAATAAAACAGTCCGTGAGATATAACGAGTTTTATCTGATAGAGAAGACTAGTTTGGTATCGTTAACGTTTTCGTCCCTCCAAAAAAGACTGTAATATCTTTCTGATTTTTTTTAGCGTAAGTAAGAAAAATCAGAGACGACACGAGTCGTAAGATTAAAATATTGTAATATTAACGATGAGTTTTGAAATCTGTCGAAAATCTGTCTACGAATGCAATAAGCGAGTGCATTATTGGAGTAAGCGGTTTGACCTGAGAAGAAGTGGATCAGAAGCACGGATGCGTTACGAACGCTCCACGATTAATACGAATACTCGGCAGATGCCTCGTCATATCTCAGAATGCAACAACGTCTAAAATTCTATTTGCCGTATGCTAATGGTACGTAATATAACACTTGGCAATATACGAGTATACATACAGGACAGTTTTGCTGAGGTATCCAGAAATTTCGCTAAATACTTCGAAAATAATGTTGTTGGACCATCAAAATAATTATGTAAAACGCTCCAATTAGTAGCCGAATGTCAAAACTTCTTGCAGCATTACTCATCATGCTTGAAATTCCTACATATTATAATTATTTTGACGATTCCACAAAATTATTTTCAGATCTATACGTCCAACTAAATTTTGAGATATTTTGGTAAAATCATTGTTTCCGTACATGTAACGATCTTTCAGCAATGATTATTATCTTTCCTTAAGTTTATATTTACTATAATTAATATAAAGTTACAAAATGTTTTTCAAGAAAAGGATAATAATCAACGAAAAATAAAAAGAGAATCGAAAGAACAGATTCAGTATGCAGATCATCGAAACATTAAGATTAATATCAAAAAATTTCGACGACCTTGAGTAATTATAATTCCTTTGAAAGATTTAATCGGCAGATGCATGCATGTCACAACGACAAAGCACGGCATAACTGCATCGTGAGAGTATCACGCTCCAACGTTGCCCAGTTCAGCATAGCTGATGTGAGTCAAGGTCGTCGATTAGCGAGCAAGCTCGATTGAAACGTACTTCATATACTGACACTTCATGAATTAGAAAGCAAAGAAACTTGAAAAACTCTTATATCAGAGATATAAATACTTCTACAGTTATCATGTTCAATTTAAGCTCAACATCAACTTAATCTCTCTACAGATAAAAACATTTTATTGTGCCACTTCAACAATAATGATTGCGCTGTGAGCAATTGAACGTCAAATGGTTTTATTAGATAATTAAATGACAGTTACAATTAAGAGTATCAAAAGTTTTTTTTCTTATAAAGGAGTCTAATTTGAACAAACTCTTGTTGTATGCGTGTGTGTTGTGTGTAATACTTCAAATTAAAATTCTGCAAAAAACGATAATTTGGAAATATCTTGTAATTACCGTAACGTAATTTTGAGATGCTACACAGATGGTTAGACCTAAATAAAGTTAACATCGGGTGATATATCGCATGACCTCCGGAGATAATCATGAGCAGGTGGTTGATTAGATTAAATGTGTAGCTGGATAGTCGGTAACTCTCTAGATCCGAATAAGGCAGAAGATAGGTTGCCATAACACTCGATTAGCTCGATAGTAGGACAATGTGGAGCTGGTATTAAACATAATTGAATAGTCTTTTAATAGGACATCAATTAGTTTCGCTTCGGGTAAAAATAGCGTGGTCAAATGGAAATTTTCTGCTCAATTAAGTGAATATCGAAAATTAATGTGACAATAAGTAACGTTATGATTTTATAAAATAGAGATTTTATACACGATTAAAAATTATATTATTAAATAACTTTTTAAAAAATTAAACAAATTGCAAATAAAATTAAAATAATTGGAAAATATACTGTCATACACACAATATAAATATTATTTACTTACATATATATACAAACACTATTCCTAATAAAATAAAATCTGTTAATAAAATACATTTTGCGTTCATTAAATTTTTATGTTATAAATTAATATCGTATACAGAAATAAAATATCACGAAACAATTAAATAACACATCCCCATAATCAAAAGATTATAATTATTCATACGACTATATGTTATACACTTACCTGCAATTCAGGCAGTCTCGCAAACTTCCTCATCTAACGTCCTTCATTTGCGCGAATCTGCAACAGGCGACATACATTCCCATTGTAAAGTCTCGAAACATAAAGTTTTCGAACAGCAATCCAGTTTCTTGAGTATACATATTCATGCTGTTTCATATACATTTTCAGTGTCAATTTAGATCAAAAATTGCTTAAATTTAACGCCAGTTATCAATAATTCTGCAAGTTATATCGCTTCTCATTGCGTATCCTGCAATGGCTAAAAGCATAAGTTTAATAACCGTTATCGATTAATTCGTCGTATAAAGGGACCCACGATGTCATCGCGCAACAGTACAGACTGCACTACTCATTATCGACTAAAAGAACTACGTTCAAAGCGAATTCGACTTTATATTTTTTTCTTTGATAAACTGATTTCAATTACGCAATTAATAACATAATAACTTAATGGCCTTAATAACTTAATTTGATAACCTGATTAACCTTCTGAGGACCAGCATATTTTTTATTGACTTTTTCATTTTAAAGACTAGTACTTTTTTGTCAATGTCATGTAGTTGAATGGCGAAAAAGGTGGCGCCACTGTCAAGTCCCTAACGATTAAATAAAAAAATTTTAATATTAGACAAAAATGATAAATTATGTTGATAACAATTAATCCTAGTATACATTTAAATGATTCTTGTAATTTTTTAAATTACAATATGCATATTTAATATATTATAATCCATTTAATATTAAGTTATTGAATAATTATGATATCAATTGCATAATTAAAATTAATTTAACAAGAATGTATGACGTCCAATTTGTTTCTTACGTTTTATTTAGCATTATGTGCCTATACGTTTATTGATGGTATAAAATATTTCAAACACTTATTACATTACTTCCAAACTGCCTTAAACAAAAAATAGTACAAAGTATAACGTAAGTTATCTTTGGCAAACTACTTTAATAAAAGATTAAATAAGCGATTTACGATCTTTGTGTAATATTCTTATAAAAGTTAATCCAACGAATAAAATCACAATTGAACTTTATTAAGAGATACTCGCGAGACGGTAAATCTTTTCAAGCAAGTTTACTCCGTGCATTATCACGTTCGGTGGCAACTTCATTAACGTGCTAAGCAAAAACGCGGATACCACTAGGAACAAATGAAAAAAAAGGAAAAATATATCGGGGTAACACGGAACAGAAAAACGGTCACAAGTTTTCCACCCACCCTCATGCAGTTTTACCTCTCTCAAGCGTATAAGAAAAAAAAAAAAATGCGGAAAGTTCGCTCGTTGTGTCCGCAGAGAGAAAAAAACCAGGATCTACTCGTTTACCGACTTTACAGCGGTTTCACGCTTTACAGCAAGGAATCAGCAGTTTTAAAGTTCACGTTACAATGTTGGCAAATCGATATTTAGCCGCAAGCTTCGAAGCGAACAACTCGAGAACTTGTTACCAATATTACGTCCATGGTAATGTGTGAATAATTAAATTACTGTTTAAAAAGTATACTAATATTTAAAGTAATATTAAAAATGTTAATATATTTAAATTGTACCATAAAACAATTATAGAATAATAATTCTAAACGCGTACTAGAAGAATTTCTTTTTGCGAGGATTTTAAATAAAGTTTAAAACTTTCTTCTCATCGACCATTGCGTGCGCATGCTCATGTAAAATATCGACTCTTAGCCGCGGTCTAATAAATTAACACCAAGTAGATTATCCTTGAAATTAACTATCGTACTGGGCGGTTCAAAATTAGTATCGACCGTCGCCTCGAGGGTGCGGAAGGGGGTCCCGGGAATATTCTACTTGGAATATTCTGGCAATATTTACTTTTTCAGTCATCGCTGTGAAATAAGCAAATATAAACAGCACCAGCAGGAAGTCGCATCGGTATTATTTATGTTATTTTATCAATTTCGAAATATGATACATTTCCACCTGACAGAAACAATTTCGCATATGCCAGAGTTCTCTCAAATTTACGTTAGTTTACTCAACGAGTTCAAAATCCTATAAGTAAACACTTAATATTCCCGCTGAGAAAACGATAGATCGTGTTAAAGTTGATAACTCAATTAGCAACTAAAAGTACGAAGCGACTCGTATTAGGCTTTACATCCTCAGCAGAACCAGACAAATTGTAATAAATTATTTTCTCTATCCATAAATGTCACAAAGTAAACAAAGATAAATTATTTTGCTATTTGATTTGAAAAAAAATGTACGCGCAACACGTCCTAGATGTATCGAAAGATACTATACATTGTAGATTTTTGCAGGAAATGCAACGTTGGTCGTTGAATAAAAAAGAATCCATAATTAGGTATCGTTTGTTTGCAGATCGCGCGATCAGGTAGCAGCACGAAACAAGTCCCGACGGTTATCGGTCGACCTGCTGGAGTAACAATGACACGCGCGTCTCACGCGCGAGCGAATCCGCCGACGGGTGTCCGTGAAGCCGAGCAGTCGGTCGGGCGGGAGCCCCGGCTCTACGTGAGTATTGTACAATGAGAAATTCAATTTGGAGCGTTGGAATTCCGCGCGAACCGCGTCGCAACGTGAGCGCGACTCGACTTCGTAAAAAGGCGTCTCGCACGAAATCACACTGTCGCGTCGGCGGCGGCGACGCGACGCTGCGCGATCTGCGGGATTTTATCAACGGTAACGGAAGCGCAATGCGAAAGTGTCTCCGTTTAACGGTTGAAACGCACCGCTAGAGAGACAACAATACGAGCGAACAATACAGTTGCGGTCTATCGGCGTCGCACCGAGTCGAATTTAAATTTATTGCTTTTTTTCTGCTAATTAAATATCAGTTTAAATGCCTGCTCCTGTCACGTTCAATTGTAATACTGCCATAAAAAGAACAATGCAACGTAAGCTTTTATCTCTCTACGCTGTTAGATATTAAAGGACCAATAATAATCCGATTTTTATTAATTAAATAATACTTTGTTATTTTTTTTAACTTCCATGTGTATTAAAATGTAAATCAATTCGTTTCTGTAGAGTTTAGTTCATATAAACGTATGTATTTAGTAAATAATAAACAAAAATTGAGTTAAATTTAATAAATTTTCTTCAGTTTTAAATTGTATAATACCATTTTGTTTCAATTACATTAACAATATATTATAACTAGAAGCAGTGATGATCTATAAAAATAGTTAAAATAACTCGTATAATTTAACATTAACAATTTTAACATCATATATTCACTTAAGACGGACAAATTACAATGTAGATATACAATGTATACACTCGTAAAAAATGGTCTAAGATTGTAAGAAGAGTTATGCACTGTCATGAAGTACACTTTTCTTATTGCAAAACCTCTCTACGAGCACATCTCCGTGCAACAGCAATAACCACATTATTTTCGGAGTGCAAAGAGGAGATTAAATTTTATGTCCTCAAATAAAAATTTATTTTCTTGAGTTTTTAAGAAAATGGATTAGAAAACCAATTTCATTTTTTTATCGATTTATATATACATATATTTATAACAAGTATTAAGATCAAATCAATATTTGTATTAGTATACAATGCATATTCGTGCAATAATAAATCTAAACGAGAGAATGAAATATAACAATTCAAATACCTCGTTTAAAAAATCTTTTTCAATGTATCATAAATACAAAATTATAATATAATATATTATGAGTATAAAACAATACAAAAATTGAAGATGAATATCCTGTTTATTCCGGATGTAAAAATGATGTTTCAGATCTGAGGTACGATTCGGGTACGAGGATCCCCCCGAGCGATCTAACCGGTCGTAATGCAAAGTCGATCGTGCTCGGGGGGAGAGGAGAGGCGTGTATCCGGTAGGGTTTTCCGACGGAAGGCGTTTCCGGAAACGATAGATACCTTTTCGAGACAATTAACGATCTCGGAGCAACACGGATGATCGAAATTCTCTCGATCTTCGCGAGTGATAACGGGTGATCGATAGTAACACGTGCGACGTGTTATTATCATCAATCTCGATTTACGAGACACATCAGCGAGCCTAATGAGACGATCGAAAGAGAGAAAAAGAAAGAAAGAGAGAGAGAGAGAGAGAGAAAGATACAACTTTAAAGAGGAGGAAGGAAAAAATAATCTTAGCGACACGCTAATTAGTCGCATTCCAATCCTATTTACGTAAATCAAGAGAGACACGATTAAGATCGACATCGACGGGCGGAACGACGAGAACAGGATAATGCAGAAGATAGCGGTGATGGCCGCGGTGCAAAAGGCTCACGGCTATCATAACGGCAGCAACGCTTACGGGGATGCGAGTAACGCCCCACCGGAGTATAACGGCTCCTCGTCAACCAGCAAAAGCGGTCGCTTCGACGCGGATCTGCACGGCAATGTTAACATCCTTCTTGGTGGGTGAGTAACAATCGCGCCAGCCGGACAGATGCTGCGACAGCACAGCTCGCAAAATATATAGGCGGAAGATATCTCACAGCGAAACACACCTAATCCTGAGCTCTTTGAGAAAAAACGCATCGTCATCCCTCGCACGCTCTGCTCCCTTAATCCTCCAACAGATTGTAGTTAGTACGTCAAACAGACCGTTGCATGTACAAGACACGATGAAAGTACACAATTGTTTAGATACTTCAGATAGCCGATGGTTGAAAATTCAATGATTGTTTCGCGAAACAACACGGGAGATGCAACCTATAAGTTAAAATTGGCTTATCGGAAAACTTGATAATTCTGAAGAAAGATAACGTTGCTTGCTTGAAATTAAAACTTTTTCCTCTTCACAAAGATAATTTTCATAAAAATATTTAATCTAACAAGTATCGAAGTAAAATTTATATTTCATATATAAATAAGACAAAAATTTATGAAACATTATATATGTATATTCACGGAGTATAAAAATAATGATTCACCAAGTAGGTTAAATTAAAAAATCGGAGATTTTTTTTATTGCAGAAGTTATAGATATATAATAGAAATGTAGAAAACGTGAAATCATCGTCGTTAAATTGGCGGGTAATGAATTTTTATCTTAAGTCGTTTTATCAGCAATTTAAGATAAGAGGATTTATGATGAATAAATGCTAATTAAATGGTTATTGCAATTACACTGCTAACGATGCATTATATTGCATGCGTATCAACGATAAGATACTTGTTTTTATAAATTATCTGCTGTGTGCAGTAAAATTCTTCGAGCAAACAAACAAAACGAAGAAAGACGTTATCTTTGAAATTAATACCTGTCAAAATATTTCTAAAGTTACATCTATATTTTTTTAAGGTGCAATTTTTTGTTAGACCGTCATAAAAGTTCGAAATGCAGCAGGTGTTAAAAGTGACTGTTTTGTATTTCATCGTGTTTAAAAATTTCTGCTCCCTCCGGAGAGAAAATCGCACGTTCACTTTATGGCAACCACGCTTTTTTCCTCGGCCGTATGGGCACCTCCTAGCACAAAAAGCACCGTCTAAACATCATCTATATTGGTTCGCTTTTAGCGCCATGATCAGCGGTGTGATCATGATGGTGGTGCTCATATGCTATTGCTGTCACAAAAACGTCCGAAAGCATCGACCGCAGGAATACTCGCAGTACTGGAGAGCCGAACCGGACATTCATAGTCTGGAAGTCTTCACCATGGACACACATGTAAGTAAAAGTTTTCAATTAAAAGATCATTCTAATCATTACACATCGCACGAGAATTATCTCCGTTGAACACTTTATTTTTCACATGTCGAATTTTTTACATAATTATAAAATGCTTATTAATTTTCTAATAAACTGACTTTTCTATATAATTTGTATAAAATCATTGTTAAATGGAATCATTGAAATTGAGAAAGTTATTTTGAGAATATATTATATATTGTATATGTATATATATATATTTTTTTAAAAATTAAAATTGATTTTAATCATCAATTGATGTTTTCTAGATCTAGATTTTTTAAAATTCTATTATTAAAATAAAATATATATATATATATATAAAACTTCAGTTTGTTTCAATCTTATTTTAATAATAAAATTTTAAGAAATTCCATGACATCCCGATGATTAAAATAAATTTTAAATTCAATTATATAAATTTTCGAGCCAAAATTTATCAAGAGATATATGATGGCTCGTTAATCATTTATATGCATACATCTGACATTTAAATTAAGGTCTTTCATTTTCAATTAATAATTTCCTTTATATAAGATCTACAGGATGTCTTTCAAATCTTCAGCATTTATAATCGAAACTTCTTTCAGCAATATTTTTCGCAGAATTTAAGCTATCCTGCATAACATTACATAAAATTGCTCTCAAATCATACCATCTACTCGACGCAATGTGCGCACCGCGAGTCGCTTATATTATACACCTGTCGACCTTTTACGCAACCTCTCGCTCACCTTTGTAGTTACGCCCGCAATTAAATAAAAATTCGCATATTTCGCGGAAACCACGCCCTCACGTTACACGTAAAGGAACGAGCGCGAGAACATCGGCTGGAATTGTACGCCGCAATGCGACAACGTGCATACTTCACACTTTGAGATCTAGAAACTCGTATTACATCGTGTCTTGAACGACATAGTACAAAAAGAACGACTTATATAAAGAGCAATATTATTAATACATAATGAGAAATAAAGAACAAATGAAAAGCGAAGAATTAACGATGTATATTTGTCATAATAATTAAGCTATGAAAAACACATTATAAAAAGCACGAAAGATAAGTATTTATACTTAGTTCTGTTTTTTCTATACAGTTGAACTATTGTACACTTTTAGAAATTTAAAGTGAAATAGATTGTGAGATTAATAGATTTGACATTTGGCGAAAGCAAGAAAGTTCTAATGCAATCTATAATGCAGAAATAAAGAAATAGACCTCTTGTTACGTCGACGGGGGTTTATTCATTTTAAACTTTTATATTTGTGTCTCGTTCCTAATATGTTTTTTTTTTATCCTAACGTTTCGCTGTTGTAATTTTAACGATTTCGTTTCTCTCTAACAGTGCATCGAGAGATCGGTAACGTCTCATCAGGAAGAGGGAATGACCGTGTCTCTTCCGCCGTGTTCTGTGACCTCAGGCCCGCCACCGGCCTACGAGAGCCTCATCTTCGACCCTCGGGCGTTGCCCTCGCCGACCGATAAGAAGGACGAGTCTGACGATCCCGGCAATATTATCTCACCCCCGATAAGCAGCTTGCCCACCGAGTTGGAGGCCAATAGGATCAACAAACGGGAGGATATCCCGAGAGACGATCAGGATTTACCTTCCTACGAAGCCGCCCTAAAATTAGAAGCTGACGGCTACGTTTAAGGAACGAATAAAGGTTCGCCGAAACTACTTCGATCGCAGATCTCCAATCGTGAAAATTTTCAGAGCTCTTAGATAAAACGCCGAGAATCATAGATATCAAGGAAAAATTCCATAATCGACATGGTGACTCAGTCGGCTGTAGGCGATAGCTGTCGTCAGCTGAAATTAAGTCTTGCAAAAGCATCTGTGAGAGAACGATGCAAGGAACTGAGATTGATTTTTAATCAAGGAAATGGAAGAAGAAAGAAGAGATAGATGGTTGAGCAAATTTTCCATGTAGATTTGTGAACCAAAGACAAGTTGTGAAAGAAATTTCAAGCACAATTTTTAGAAAGAAATTATTTTCACTGCGCGCTTGTGAATTAAGACGCATGAAAAAGTACAGAATAATTTTAATCAAAGAAATGTAAAAAGAGGAAAAGATGTTTTAAATATCTAAGTTTTTTTTTAAAGTTAATGAAAGATAAAAAAAAATGATTGGGCGTTATATCAAAAATATTCTAAAAACTTTGGAATATTATTCTCCTCTTGCCTTATTGAAGGATTCTTAACAATAGAATGGCAGAGTGAAAAACCACAAAAGATAAAGTGCCTGAACATACATCCTTTTTCGAAACGTGTGTAAACCGAGAACAAGATGAAAGAAAAGCGACGAAGTAATTTTTCGAAAGTACGTACTGCTTTTCTTTCTATCTTGTCTAAGTAAAACGACACACAATATCTTTGAGAATGACTTTTCATCTACAAGACATAATAAGAAAATTTTCAGAAGATGCAATACCTCGACTTTTCTATTTTTAGATAATCTCTACGATTAAATACGTCGACGATATTTTAAATATAGGAGAGAACGCGTCGTAGAAACATATAGATATACAAGATATCGATTTATATAGAATGCGCCGAAATGTAGAACAAGTTAATGTCAGTATATGAAAACGGTACGTTTGTAAGTCGGCCCCAGGCAATGAACAGAAAGACCTAATTTCGCAGATAATTACATTTTATAGATGTTAAGGAGGAGAATACTTAACGGCATATTTTTCCCGGTCGGTCATTAGTTTAAGAGAGCAAAAGCGGACATAGGAACGCGGCACCGTTAGATTACAGTTTCCGTTTGAATAAACAATGCGCATCGCTATAACGTAAATGATACTTCGTGTAATGGGCGCACGACATCGCGGAATTTATGTGGCATTTCGCTAGGAGAACGCTTCAAAACATACCATTTTACGTAGAACTTTCCTCTGTATGATAGATGAATATGTAAATAAATAGCTGTGCATTCAATATGCATTTTTAGGCGTGCACCGGCAACAGCCGCAATGATGATTTATTATTACGCCAACCGTATGAATATTAAGTAGTAAGTACTATATCGATGAATTGTGCCTGACACGAACGAGTTACGTTCGAACGTAAGATTTTGCGCTTTATAAACACGCGAATAACAATTTTTTTAATTTCCGCTAATTATAATTGCATAATAATATTATGAGTCATAAAGAAGATAGCATAGATATCTTTAAATACAATTACATAAAATTACATATAATGGTCGCTATATTTGCTTACAAATACGTTTGCTGTCGCATGCATTTACGATCGAATCGTCATACTTTGTTGGACTTATACGCGAACACTTAATTACGACAACAATAACAATTAGTCGCAACAAGAGATCCTCGAAAAAAAAAACGATAACCTTGATATCGAAAAGAAAAATGTTTGCTCGAAAGAGCTCCTTATCAGACGAACATTTTATCGAGCCGGTTAAAACCTGCGATAAAATGTGATGCTTTTGCCAAGAGCTGTATAGATATTTTAAGAAGCGTAAAGCAGCACTTATTTATTTTATATTGTAAAAAAGTCTTAATTGAATAGACGAATGATCCCCATTACAGCGTCCGCTATTACGTCTACAGTTTTCTTTTCGTGTCAGCATTATTATACTTATTTATATACAGCTAAAAATACAGTCTAGAAAGAACCGACTAAATATTATAGCTGCAAATTTTAACGTAATTCTAAAATAATTACGTTTAACGAGACGTGTACGATAATATTGTATGAGGAATAAGAGATCTCTCGTTAAGTTCATTATTCATTTTCAATTATCAGAATTAATCCGAGAGCTACTTTGAACTTTTTGTTAAAAAGAGATATTTAAAGTATTCGAATTAATAAAATAATAATCGTAATAAAATAATCTGTTATTAATATTTATTACCAGAAAGTGTGGATTATCCTGTTTACATGTTAGTTCATTTATACGCCATCTCGATCATGCAGGTTGATACATTCGATGAAATCATGACAAAACAAAATATACCGTATGCTGTATCTGCTGATAAAACACTGCGATAGGTAGTCGCGGCGAAGGTAGTCGTAAACTCTAATTCAACGATGACTGCGATGCATCGATGACGATAAATCTAAAAGCGTGGTTACGTGCACGCTATTGCATGGTCGGTGTGATTCATTAAACGCGCGCGTGCAGAAAAATATACTGGAAGAACTGGCAAACGCGAGAGAGATACTAAACGTTCAAAATAAAAAAGAAAATAGTATCTTGCATATTTAAATCCCGACGTTATTTCTCAGTATAATTCAATAAATTGTAAATAGATCGAAAAGATATCAACTTTTCCTTTTTTTTCTTTAATTACTAAAATAATCCACAAGTATATTTATAAATGACAGTAAAATAAAAATGTTAAAATAACAATAATTTAAAGCAAAATATATTTTTTACTGTATCATCAACTTTAAATATTGTTTAACGCAATTAATGGCTAAAAATATAAGTCGTCAAGATAATTACGACTGGAAAAGAACACGATACAATCGAGTATAATACGAAGGATAAAAGCAAATTGCTGGTCTGGTATCTGAAAATCAAGGACAAAGAACGGCTTCGACGACATAAAATCATGTACCATGACGCAAATGAGAGAAGTGCAAATTACACGATCCACGCGTGCGATCATTTCGCAAGTTTTCTGCAAAATAATTAAGCTTCTCGTTAACAATATCCGACACGGAATCGATATTACGTTGCGGTTTAGGATCGCACATAATTAGCACCCTCATCATACGGCCTTCGCGAGGGATTGAGCCAAACAGAAAATAATTTCCGCTCCGCGGCCTGATTGCGGACCCCGCGGTGGAATCCGAGATTCTCGTAACGAGTTCGTATGGAAATTTCAAATTGCTAACGATACCTGCGTACAACACGTACGTACCACGCATGGTATGCGTACCGTTCGTGTGTGCCATAATTAGATTAGATTTACACAGAATAACTCGCGTGTTTACATTTCCCACCGGTGTAACGCAGAACTGTGCCACACGCCCCGTTATCAATTTGGTTAGTCATACGACAGCCGTATGCAGCATTTCCACAGTTAAACCGGTACGTATCGTATATATAATCCTCTTTTATATTGCATAACGCTGTTACGATAGAGCCGAAGAAAGCTAGATGCGTGTGATGTAATAAGATAACGTTATTTCGCTAAAAATGTATTTTAAGAGCTGAAAAAAAGGAAGGCGGCACTGAGTTTGCATAAAAGCGTTCGCGGATAATTGGATAACTAGATTAAAAATTAGATGACAATATAAACTAGATTAAAAGTTTCTCTAAGCGATGCATATTAATGCAAACTCATAAAGCTCGCCGTGAAGTTCCGAGCGATCCCGGAAACTTTGAAATTCTCTCAAATTTTTTGCAAGTTTAATTATTAGGAAGGAAATTTTGAATGTTTTTAGTGTTAGTGAATTTAGCTAATGAAAACTATATCTAGAGGCAAAGATGAATACGAGGGAGAAACAGTCCTGGCCAGATATAATTTTCTTGGATAGAACAATTACAGAGCTCTGCTCCCTGGAGTTTCGTATAAAATACGCTATCGTGAAATCTTCCGGTGTGGCTCCTCATTAAGTTTCAATCGGCCATGTTATGCATTGGTACTGCATGATCTACGTGTATGTACGCATGCATTATTCAGGGACCGCCCTAGCAGAAGTAACATAACTCGTTTCGTCCCGTACATAATTAACAAACGTATTGACCCGCGGAACTTTCAAGCGCGGAAAGAATCGAAAGAAATTGCGGTCAACGTAAAATGATATCGATGGACGGGATAATGGCTAGTCGGATCCTAACAACGCGACCCATCGTTCTCAATTAAAGCGACCTTTATTTCGATGCGCCTGGATCAAAGATGATTCTAACTATAATGTTTGCTGATATAAACAGAACTGCCTTTCAATTGCGAAATACTCGAAAGTTGTACGATCAAAATTAAAATACAATGAACTAAATTTAACTTAATAAAAATAATTATGTACTTTACGTACTATATTTAATTCTGTGAGACATGAAAATACGTTGTTTGACAGAAATTCCCAAATGTATACAAACATCATTATTAACTCATTGCTTTTATACTCGCTGAGGTAAATCATATTAAAGTGCAGCTATCAGACGAATTGAAAGATACAACAGAAAAAATCCCAAATAACATAAATATTAATCAATAAATGAACCTCCTATTTTTTCTAACTGAACTTCTTGCATCGTTTTATAGAAAGAAAAAAAGGGAAGATAAACCATGCAAAAAGTTTAGTTGAAAAGAACAAACCTAGTCTCTCTTGGAGTGAAATTTCACCCCAAAAAATTTAGAAAGTCATATTAAAAAATATCAGTTTATAGTCTTAAACGTATATCATCAAGAATTGGAATTGAAATAAAACCTAATAAGTAAGTTATAAAAGACATATAAGTATACCATCCAAAATAAAAGAGGAAGTATCTCAAAATCAGGAGTTATCCGTTGCGAAGAGATACATCTATATGTGATATAAATATATTAGACGTTTAGAGATATATTTACATAACAAAGGACATTACAATTTGTGAACATATTCGGTACATTTACGCAGACTTCCAGTACGTACCATGACATACCTCGAATACTATATCTGTAAACTTATTTATACTGATATTCAGTAAAGTTGTCTGATACTCGGAATAAGACAATAGCATTATAAACAGCACACGTCATCTGAAGTCCATAGAACTCGTATCTGTAGATGATCGCTCTCATTGTCATTTGTTCAAGAAATATAATGAATACTAGTATATTTGTGACACTTAAATACCTCCTATTGTATACGCGAGATACATACGGAAAGTCTTGTACCTCCTGAAGACAAATATTGTGAGATACATACGGGAAGTCTTGTACCTCCTGAAGATAAATATTGTGAATTTATAAGAGTGGTTCCGCCCATTAAATCGCTTATTCATCGTTACCTCGTATATTTCACACATATCTCGTGCTAATATACCGAGAAACATATTTCCTATTAGTGTGTAACTCGAAATGTCATTTC